ACAAGGATGCTATTGGCTGTGAGACTAGAGGCCACGGGTGGTATAGTACCCTGGCAGAAAACTGGTCTATATTTTGCCTCTGAGGAAATTTCAAGGCCGGACAACCTTTAGGCTGTGGCATGGGTACTTGGCTGCTTTTAGCCAAATCTGTTTTTAAAAAAATCAAGAGCAAACAATATAAAAAATTTTCAGTTTTTTCAGAAAGGAAGTGCCTGAGAAGTTACAGCCCTGGAGAATGTGGTTACTGAAAAAATCAGCACTGAAAGGAAACCAAGTACTTTTGCGTTGGGACAACAGAAAAAATGATTTGAAGGCATCTCGAGAATCAGCAAGACTTTGTCCTTTGCAGGCCCACAAGTGGAAAAGTAAAAGACTTGCTTTGAGAAGGGAGCCCAGCTAATTCAGGGCCAACTAGGAAAGTTTTCTGCAGTTCAGCTATTCAGGCACCCAGAAGCCTCTGCAACCCTGATCCAAGAAGGCTGGACTATTGTTCAAGTTGGCAGCAGACTTTTTGTATCATCCTCTTGGTGCTGAATTTACAGGCAGGCAGAATGCAAGAGTTATGGGGTCATGCAGGCTTCAACCCAGATTTCAGAAGAAGGCCTGAGGGGCCATGCAATGTGCTCCTGAGAGGACAGTGAATGCATGCAGCTGTTAGAGTGAAGTTAAAAGTTTAGTGGAAGAGGGAGTTTTCAGAAACATGGAGTGTTTGCTAAAGAAAGCACCAAGTAGTCAGAGGAACCACACTAAGGGAGAAGCCATGAGGGCAGCAAGGAGGCAGTACTACAGTGACAACACGGCCCAGACGCTTTGAGCTCACATCTCACCTCAGTTTGCCTCCAGTGCAAGACACGGAACTACAGAATTTACTGTGTGCCATGCAGGATCGCAGTTGTGTGTTGGTCTGATTTCTTCCTGTCCTTCTATTCCTCCATTTTGAAATGGAAAACTTACCTTGTCCATTGTATGTTGGAAGGATGTAACGTTCTTTTCTGATTTTAGCAGGAGTACACAACTAAGAATTTGCCTTGAGTTTAAATGAAGACTTTAGATTTGGCTTTTTGACAGTGCTGGAATTGCTAAAACTTTGGCAACTCTTAAAGATGGACTAAAAACCTTTTGCATAGTGACATGCTCATGAGTTTTTTGGCGGTCAAGAGCAGAATGCTATGGTTTAGATCATGGGTGTGGAATGTGATTGGATCATGGGATGCTCATCAGTAAATCTGTCCATTGGGGAGTTCAGCAGCTTGGTGTGCTGTTAGAAGGTGACACTTGGCTGGAAGTGGGTCACAGGGAGAGTGTGAGTCTATTCTTGTCTCTGGCTCTTTACGTCTCTTGGTGTCCTGGCTGCTATGGGGTTAAACACCTTTTTGTTCTCCACGGCCCTCTTCCATTCTGTTTTTGCCCTTGGAATCAGACAGTCATGAACTGAAACCAAAGTAAACCTTTCCTCCTTTAAATTGTAGGTGTGGATATTTTGTCCCAGTAATGAAGGAAAGAAAAAAATGTTGACCACGTCGTGATGGAATAATTGTATTCACACACACACACATGCATTTCAAAATCAGGACCTGTCAGAAGTCAAAGGTGGCAGCTAGAAAGCGGATCCCACTATCAAATATGGGAAATTTGCATGTCAAAACAGTGATAGTAATGAGTTATAGTGAATAAAACCAAAATGTAAGAATCCAGCAAGATTTTATAAACTCATAAATAAAAGTTTGATGAAAATTGAAATGTTTGCATATTATCCTCGGCCATCTCAGGCCATCCCAGTGCTCACCTTTTGCAATAGAAACAAGTAACTTTGGAGTGGAGAAACCTCGCAGGGACTACCTTCACCCAGGGATGGAGTGAGTATCAGAAATAGGAAAAGTGAAATCCTGTAAATCCTGTGTCACCTGATAGGATGCCATGAAAAGAATGCAGCTTCGCATCTGTGATTTTCTTGTCAAAGATGCAAAAGCTTAATCAGAAGAAAGCATCAGACAAGTCAGATTGAGAAACCTCTTACAAAATAACCGGCTTGTAGTCATCAAAAATGTCACAGTCACGAAAATCAAAATAAGAAGGCTAAATAAATATGCCAACAATCCTCTGAGTAGTTCTAGACTGAAGTTTTGTTGTCATGGGCATTACTGAGGAGCGGGTTGGTATGGAATGAGTTCTGAAGATAAGGCGGTATTAAAGCATTGATGTGATCTCTTGATTTTCATGGTTATATGATAGTTGTTTAGGAGAGATTCCTTAGGGAAAATGCAAGCTAAAGTATTTGAAGGGCTGTAAGTGTTATGTAATCAGCTTATTCTCAAGTAGTTCAGGTTAAAATTGTCTTTGTATTGTATACATAAATTTTTTTAAGTTTGAGATTGTTTCAAGAGAAATAGCATAAGGGTGAAAAATGGAGGGGAGGGACCCCGTGGAATGACTCCCCTTTCTGCCTGTATGTGACTTGTTTACTGTGCTTAAGGGCGGTCTCTGCTGCATACCTGGAGTGCACCTGGAGGACCAGCCCTCTGAGGAGTGGACTCCCCTCTCCTGCAGCCAGAAAGGCATAGAATGACGCTTGTTCTTTTGGATCTCAAAATAGAATATGAATGTTTCTGAAATTTCCTTTTTGGAACTTACACTGCTTTAAATGCATTTTTTAGTAAGCGAGCTTTAACTCTTTGGGAACTCTTTATTCCAATGCGCCCTTGTCTCCCTTCCCAGGTGCTGGGGTGAGCATGGAGTGCAGAGGAAGCGCCCTGAGACAGTGCTCACACTCAAGTATAGGGGAAGGCGATGTGTTGGTGATCCATCCACACCCCTGCCCTTCCCTCCACCTCTGTCCTTTCTTTCCTTCCCCACTTTGTACCCCAGGGAGTTGATCCCACAGAGAGCCAGACCTGGGTCACCGCCCACTGGCTACTCCTTGGCTTCTGCCATGGGAGGAGAACATGACCATTGTGTTTCTCTCCGGTCACTTCCAGTGGTCCTGGAAGTGACATTTCTCCGTGGCTCTGTTTCCTTCTGGAAACCTGTCTTCACCTCCAGCTCTCACTGGGTTCTGCCAGGCATCCTCTCTGCTTGCTCCTATGGGCTGGAGGAGGTGATGGCCTTCCCAGCACACCAGTGTTTCTGGAACATGTTTTCCCCCAATGAAAGATTAAGGCTGAGCAATATATGGTGGCATTAAGAGTAAAGCTGAATGTTCTATGTAAGAGCTTACCTGTCAGGAATCAATTCACTGTGCTGTAGAGTCAGCCATACCAGGATGCTGTTAGAACACAGGAAGAAGGGAAACCTGTGAAGGCTAGAAGACGCTGTGACTGTTCCACGCATCCCTTGCATTGTGCTTGAAGGGGGTTAACACCATCCTGACACACGTGACTCCATCTGGGCCATGATAGGAGCAGAAGCAAGGAGAGCTCCCACTCAGCAGGAGCTTACAGGGTCATTCAGATCCTCTGGTCTTTCTCTTCCTCCTGCCATCCAGAAGTCAGTGTGATCTTTAGCCTGAGTTCAGATGAGCAACTTGTTGAGCAGCACTGAGCCGATCTGGGATGTGGCATGTGTACAGATACAATTCTTTGGTGCCAGAAGCCACTACGGTTGTATGTATGTTCCCGTGGTGGGTTAACTCATGGTCAACTTGTGACATCCAGCTGAACTAAGTCAGCGTGGTGCTGAGTGTGGAAGGCCCCCCTAAGGGTTGCTGCCAACAGCATTAAAAGAGAATTGGAGGGGAGGATGGTGTGCTGCTGATTCCCCCCGGAGAAGCTTGCCAGACTGGTTTTACTGATATGAACTTAGCTGTTATCAGGGAAGCTCAAGTCCTTGCTGTCACTGAGGGTGGATGTGGTTCTCTTTGGGGGAGCTCTGGTCCTTACTTTGAGAATCACTTCCTGGCTCTAGTACAGATCCCTCATCCTGCTGGCACAGACTTTCTAGCTTGTACTGCTGACCTTTGGGCCTTCCCAGTGCAGACTCTTGATACAGACTTGCTTGAGACACTGTTGTGGGCTCTAAGCCTTCAGCTGGACTCATACAGGCCAATGCTATGGGATCCAGGTGCTCAGCTGGATTCTTTGGGTCTCTAGTGTGTGGGGAGATCTCCCCTACTCTTTTGCATTTGACTCTTTGGGTGAACATTATCAAATAACCCTATAAATTATATATCCTGTATTAAATTTTTTCCCTTGTAAATCCTGACTACCACAATACCACAGCACAGCTTGACTTAAGCTGACTGATAAAAGGATGCTTCTCTTGCATTGTACAAAAAAATAGCACAATTACCACTTTTTAAAAGGCCATACTCTGGGTCATTTTTTAAAAGATGAACAATGTTATAGTCTCAGTTTGCAACACATCCTGGGCCTTTCCCACCACCCAAAAGTGCGGGAATATCCACAAAGTAACAAGAAAACTCAAGTACAAAGATAACACAGAGCTAAGAAGTAAGGTAATAAAAGCCCAGTTGTGAGAAAGAAAGATCCGTCCAATTCTACCGTCAACAAGCTGCCTGAGCCATGCTCTGGTGTCTGAGATGCAAGCGAGTGCCTGCATCAAGGCGGACAAATCTAGGGGCTTGGTGCTGCTTACAGTTCTACTAGGACGCTCAGTGTTTAAAAGTGATGTAGTGGCAAAGTCGAATTGGCTTTCAAAATTCCACTGATTTTGTGATCTGCCTCTAATCCCAGTTTTCTTGAAAATCTGGTTATTTCTAGGATGTCATTTTGCAGAATGCAGTTTTTCAGAAATATATGTACCTGAAAAGCCTGTATTAAAACAGGTCACAAGTATCATATACAAATTTTAAATTTAAACAAAAACCTCTCTGTCTCCACTGCCACATTTCCCCTCTCTTCCATCCTGCACATCTGCTTGGGGTCAGAAGGAAAGGTGGTCAGGTGGGAAGAGCAAGGTCTGCAGAATCAGAGTCTCAGCCTCACTCCACTGCCTCCCAGCAGCCTCAGCTCCGATGATGCGAACTCCCGAGCCTCTGGCTCCTCCTCTGTAACTGGGAGGCAGGTGGAGGGTGGAACGAGCAATGTGGCAGAGTCATGACACAGCTCCTTTCTTCCTGAGCCCATGGGACAGGGCGTGTGTGTGCCTCCTTGCCTCGCCTGCACGGTAAGTGGCCTTACAACCAGTACCTGCTCTGATCAGAGGCGTAGCTCACCTCTAGGTCAAGGTTTGAAAGAACCATGTGCCTTTCCTCCTTTTCCAGCCCCTGACCATAGAAGACCACATGGGACCAGACAGAGGACTGGAAGCCTCAGTGTCTCAAAAGTTGTTTTGCTTATATGATTTTATGCTTCAGCCATGACATTTTTAGTCCATTTTTTAAAACATAGCAAGCTTACGGCAAAAATCCACTCAGCAGCATGGAAAGCAGGGGAGGATGATTTCCTTCTTAAAGATAAACTTTAAAATCAGTACATCCTAGATCGGGGTAGGAATATTCAGCATCCCCTTGAGAACAGAAGCAGTTCCCAGAACTGACTTTAATTGGAACTGGAGGAAAGTCTTAGCAATCTGAAAACTGCATCCTGGAAAAAGGGGAACCGGAAGGCACGATGTGTTAGCTGAGGAGATGCTTGAGAACAGACCATCACACACAGAAACCAGGGCTGGTCCTTCTGCAGATCCGCCTGAGGTGAGGCAATCTCAGTGTGCAAACTCCATGGCCAGGTGTCCCCGAAAAGCCCCTCCCACAGGAACACATCTGCAAATCGGATCACTTCTGCCCATATTCAGGGCCCCATACAGAATAGCCAAAGGTGGACCACGCCCAGAGAATCTTCCAGGATCTCCACAGATGCCAAGCTGCCTGATTAGCACCAGACATGATGGTGCACACTGTAATCCCAGCACTCTGGGAGGCTGAAGCAGGAAGAATGCAGATTCAAGCCCAGCCTGGCAACTTGACTCAGACCTTGTCAAAAAAAAAAAAAAAAAAAAAAAAAAAGCCTGATTATGTGATTCTGCATACTGCTATAGAATTGCTATAGGGTGGAACAGAGCTGCTTTGTGTATGTGGGGGGGGGGTAATCACATTCTCTATGACAAAATGAAAACATTGCATGTCCTTCTCTAGGAGGGCACTCAGCACTGGGGGCAAGTACTCTTCACCCTCTTCCTGGAGGGTGTCCCTGCCACTGCATGCTCCCATGTGTACTGCACCAGCAGATAGGGCTCCTCATGTTCCCAGGACCGCTGAAGGCACCCACTCCTGCAGAGACCACCGTGCCCACCAGCAGCAGAACCCCAGGATTCTGTCCTGGTCACTGCACTGTGCCTACACAAGGAGGAAGCCAGCAGGCGGCAAAATTGGGCTGACACAGCTCTTCCTCGGTGTCAACCAGACCCACACTGCCAAACAGAAGAGCTTCCACTGTCAATTTTATTATTCCTGCAAGCATTTCAAATGAAGCAAAAAATTTACCAAAACATACAAAAATATACTTTTTTTTAAAAATTGCAAGTGGACAACAGATTGATGGAATTGCTTTTCTGACTATTCAGAAAATTCAACATTTGCTTAACAGTAACTGCATTTGACACCAGCCACTGGAGCAGAGCCGCTGCCAGACATTGATGAGCAGGAGAATTGCTGGCCACCTGTGCAGGCCACAGGAGGGGAGAGGACAGCAAGAAGGGGAGCAGCAGTGGGAGGATCTCACAGCAGCCTGATTTCGCAGTGAGCTACGTCCTGAGCAATTTTTTATTTTTCTGAGACAAGGCCTCAGTGTTGCCCTGGCAGGACTCAGTTTTTTACTCCTCCTGCCTCAGCCTCCCTCAGTAGTGGAGTTGCAGGTATGCACCACTGTGCCTGGCTTGTGTGTTCATTTGTAATCAATTCTATCAGCTGTCCAACTCATGGGTTTGGGTGGGGAACATCCTCGTGTCCACAGTCATATCAAGAAGGCCCAGTGTGTCAAAGCAGGCTCCCAAATGCAGACCCCGTGGCTGCAGAGAAAGCAGGCATGGTAAGACCCAGGCCTTGCTCCAGGAAGCTCATATGTGAGCCCAGGATCTTGTGTGGACAAAGCAATAGAACTGTCCCCACTGTTATGGGCCATCAGCATAGGGTTATAGAAAGCTTCATGATCAGAGATGGGCTGGCAGGAACGGCAGGATTTGTCAAGGCAGAGAAGGAAAGTGCACGGGCATGGGAGGCTTACAGAGGCTAGGACGTGTGACCCCCCCAAGTGAGGAAAGTAAGCAGTACCAGGAAGTCCCTCACATACTCCTTCCTTCCACAAGACTGTAGCCAGTGCAGCCCCAGCAGCTGGGCACACAGGCACAGGGAGGCTCCTTCTCCTTTGGAGGTTGCATGGCTCTATGGAGCGCTCACAGCAGGCTGCCTGCACACACAACTGTGCTTTGGGAAGCAGGCCAGCTGAAGGGGAGCGGGGGCTGCTGCCTGGTGCAGGGCGAGGGTCAGACCTGACCACACAGTGGGGAGTGTGTGGCTGACATGGTCAGCTCAGATGGAATCTTTACAGCCACTCAGGTGTATCCTGACGGGGGCTGGGGGGAACAGCTGGGGAGGGAGTTCGAGGGGAGACAAGCAGGAGGGTGAAGCCTTCACCCTTCCTCCCCTACGTGCAGCAGGCACTGTCACTGATCAGCATGGCCTGGGGATTGGCGCCCGGAGCTTCTTTGGTGTTCGTGCCCATCTTCATCCACCTCCTCTCTCCTCCTGGAAGACTCTGGAATTTGCTCTTTTGGTGCCCGGTAAATTGCCCGGTCCCTTTAGGGCAAAGGAAACAGAGGAGAAAGGTTTGCCTTTGCATGGTCTGGGAAGAGCAACTGCTGAATGCCACTGGCCATCCCCACCCACTGCTGCAGGACAGAAGATGCCACTGACGTGTTCCACCCAGGGGTGGAGAGTGTTGCAGACAACACCAGTGCTGGGAGCACCCGAAAGATCCCTCCTTGAGGCTGGCAGGCACAGGACTCAGTGCAGCTTCTGATTAGGGCCAGCCACGTTCTCAACTCTAAAACGAGGGCACCAGGGCAGCCACTCCCCAGAAGTAGTGTAAGCGGCCTTTCTGTGAGGAGCTGCTGCTCGGTTCCAGTCCACCCACGCCCTCCCCCCAGGCCTCCCCCAGACACTCACGGCCTTGCGGCCTCCTTTTCCTCATCCTTGCTGTCCCCATCTCGGCAGCAGCAGCAGTAGGCGATGATGCCGATGAGGATGAGGGCGGCCACCACTCCGCCCGCGATGCCCGCGTACAGAGCCACGTTCATGGAGGCTGCAGGGACAGAGAAGCTGCATCTCCCAGCCCCTGACTGACCCAGTCAGCACAGCCAGGGACAGGCCACTCCAGGCCTCCTCCTCGCCCCGAGGAGGAGCTGCCCTTTCCAGCCACACTTCACCAAGTGGTGTGCTGGGCATGTAACCACACAGGCTAGGGGCGGTCCTCCTTTAGGGCACAGCCAAGGACAGACACCCAAAGCTTTGCATTTCAGCACTTCTGGCTTCGGAGTGCCAACAGTGACCTCAGTTTTCAGCCCTGCCAACACCTAGCCTAGCCTGAGTGGCATGCCAGCCAGAGGACGGGCTGCAGATGGACTGCCGGTGCCAGGCACATCCCCTGGACTGAGTGGCCCTCAGCACAATGGGACAGGGGAGTCTGCAGAAATCAGCCCAGGTTTTGCTGCCCAAGGCCAGGGGAACTAGGCTGGACTCAAGGGGAGGGGACACAGCCCAAGTCACCACAGCTGCCCTGCACATGAGTGGTCCTAATGAGGCTCTGGATTCATCTTCATGGGCCTTGGCTGGCTCTGGACCCAGCTGGCCCTTCCGACCCACCCCACCCTCCCTCTGCTCTCACGAGATCTGACGATCAGTGTGATGTTGCAGCTCTTCATCCCCATCTCATTGCTGGAGAAGCAGGTGTAGTAGCCCGACATGAGTGTGGAGATGTTCTTCAGAAGGAGGCTCTGGTCTGAGGCTGCAGGGAGAGAGGGATCAGGGGGGAATCAGGGGGAGCAAACACCGGGGAGTAGTGGCCAGACCCCGCGAGCTGCCACGGGACAATCCCCCCCTCCAGGGTTGCTGAGAGTAGCAGCGCTGGAGAGGTTGTGTGAAAGGGAAGCGGTTAGAATTCAGCTGGGCTACCTGGGCTGGAAGCCCAGCTTGGCCACTGATTAATTCTGTGCTGTTGCAAGGAACTTAGCTTCTCGGTCTCTGTTTTCCCACCTATGATTGGAAACAGCAGGACCTGTCTTCCAGGTACTTGTGGGCATAAAATGTGGTTTTCACACAAATACAAACTAACATAGAACAGCTGACAGACTGGAAGCCCTCAGGAAAAATCAGATCTATTACATATTACTTGGAAATGCTTTATAATTAGAAGATATTATTACTACTTTTATAAACTGCAGAACTCAAAGCCCTTGGAGTGGGGGGGAATCAAGAACTCTGATCTCTGGATCTCTGCCGTAAGTGGTGGGCATGTGTGCTGTGGGCAGGTGTGCGGGGTGTGTGTATAATGGGTATATTGTGTGAATGTGTGGAGATGCGCATGGTAGAAAGTGAGTTGAGTGAGTGTATATTGTGTGTGTGCTCTCTGGTGTGTGCGACGTGTCTGTGTGTGGAATGCATACGGCGGTGGACGAAAGCTTGTGTGTGATTTGTGTACTCTGAGTATGTGCTGTCGGGTGTCATGTGTATGTGTGGAATGTACAGCATGTCTGTGTGAGGATTTTGTGGTACTTGTGTGTGGTAGATGTGAATGTGTCTGTGTGTGTTGATTAGTGTGAGTGATGAGTGTACATAATATAACATACACATGTGTGTATGACTGAATGTAGTGTGTGTAAGTGTATGGTTTCATCTAGTGTGATGTGAATGTGTATAATGTATGGAGTTCAGGTGTGAGGGAGTGTGTGTGGTGTATGTGAGTAAACAGTCTAATCTGGTGTATGGTATGAGTCATGTGTGTAGTGTCCAATGTTTAAAATTTTGCACCACCAAACCCAGATCTACTCATCCTAAAAACTGGAATGTAATGCAGAATTATTGTGCCAATCCAGTTCAATCCAGAAAATCTGTGAGTTGATCACAGATACGAACAAGATAAAGAGGGCCCCTGTCTTCTTGGCTTTTCTACTCTGCTAAGGAAGACACAGAAACAATGGTGATCACCAGGGTGGGTAGCATTTTACACTAAGATGCTGTCTGATCTTAGAGCAAGGGAATTTCAGCTCACCCACAGGGCTGGAGGAAACCTCGACAAAGAAGAAAGAATAAGATTAAAAAGTGTTCATCATCTCACCACCTAGAAACAACAGCACTTTGATTTAGGGCTATTTTCTTTCCATCTTTTCTAAATATGTGGTACTGGGAAAGGGGTTTTTGACCAAATCAAGTGTAGAAATCACTGGTTGAGGGTTAAATGCATTTTTAAGGTCAGAGAGGTCTCAGATGTTCTAATACGCTAATGAGGACTGGGAATCTCTAATAGGATTTATAGTATTTAGTGGTCCCATTTTCTAAACTGAGATTTTTTTTGCCTGTTTGTTTGTTTTTGGAAACAGGGTCTCGCTATGTAGTCCAGTCTGGCCTCGAATTCGTGGCGTTCCTCCTACTGTAGCCTCCTAAGTGCTGGGGTCACAAGTGTGCACCACCACACCCAGTAAACTAATTAGATTTTGTTACTGTGCACTCCTACCCCAAACACCATACTTGGAATTGAACCCAGGGCCTTTCCACTGAGCTTTTACAGACTTAGCCCTTCCACATTTTTTATTTTGTTAATTTTCCAGGATGAGGGCACCCTTGCCACGGGTCCCCCCTGGCTGTGAAAGCTAAGGGAATGCGGCTGTGTAGCCCTGGGCCTGGCGGGCATTCTGTTTCCTTCAGCGGCATCTTGAAAGTGCACACTGAGGGAAGCGTTCTGCGATCAGACAGGTCTTAGGAGGTCTACAGCTCGCCCACGGCTGTAGACCCTGAAAATTAGCCTGGGTATTCGGTGCCCTCCCAGGGGGACCGGGGACCAGCTCCAGGCCCTGCTGAGGATGGGGCATGCGGCTTCCAACGCGGAGCTGCATACGGCGGACCCTACAAGCTGCACTGGGGCGAACTAGTGCACACTCTACGTCTCAGGGCCAACTTCGATTTTGAACTGAATTCCTTGTAACTTCGAATCCCTCTTTCCTTTGGGAAAGGGCCTGGTGGTTTGTGCAATCTTAGGGGGAAATTAATTTTTCTGCTGCAGGAGCGACACCTTGTGGTCACACAGGTTCAGGGTCACACAGCTGCCCATCTCCCTCCTTTTGCTCTAGAAATTTCCCCCACAAGGTCCTGGTCCCACACAGCGCCTACTTGGAGCTGGCAAGGCCTAACCGTCCCACCCCACACGCCGTGGCCGTCATAAGCTCGGCTTCCACCGCTCACGGGGTCCTCGGGGTCCTTCCTCCCGCAGCCCTCATCTGCACACCCTCTTCCTCCAAGATATTCCAGTCCCCAGAATTGCCCCTTCCTCCTTCCTTGAAACTCAACCTCTTCCTTTGGCACCCGGAAACTTAACTGGCTGGGACTCAGTTTACAAAATACGTTCATCCCGCAGGGGTATCCTTGTATCCTCTTCACGGCCTCCAGGGCCACCTTGCTTTTCATGGCTTTCCAGGTGATTATGTTAAGAGAGAGGCTGTGGGTGGGGCAGCTGCATGGTCCGGTGAGGACTCAGATCCCTGCCTCCCAGTGCCAGAGCCCCCTGCCTTTTCGGTGTTCTTGTTTCTATCCAGGGCGGAGTCCACGGTGGGCATTCTGCCTTCAGATTGGGAGGGCTGGAGGAGTCACCCTCCGTGGACTGGAATGTTCCCGAAGACATCGGAAAGGAGATTGGACTGACCATGGAAGAAGGCACGGACAGATTCCCAGGCCTCTGTGAGGTGGGCTGGGGGCCAGAGGCTTTGAGAAGCCCCGGCTGCTCCCCACTGCTGTCCAGATACACAGCTGTGTGGCTGTCACCATCCACCACCTTTTCTGCACCCCAGGTCTCAGTGCTGACTGTGCACGTGTGCCACAGACCCCAAGGCAGGACATGGCTTCTGGGAAGCAGAAACACATCTCCAGCCCTTTTCCTGACCTCAGCATTCTCCCCTCTGGAGCTCAGAAGGCTACATTTTGTCCCCTCACCCCCAGAGTCACCTTTCCTGATGGAGGCAGCAGAGCTGGGACCCAGGTGCCCCACAATTTCTCCTTCCTGTCCTTCCGCCACTCTGGCAGGCATGATTCCCACGCATTCTCTAGGCCCATGCTATGCACGGGAAGGACCTAGCTCCCACAATAGCTGAGAGTACCACATTCATAGAGTGCCTCTTGTCTGCCAAGGACTGGTGTCAGTGTTTTATACATACTTCCTTTGAGTCTTCACAGCAACTCCGTGAACACTAGTGTTGTGCCCATTTTATAGATGTAGAGATTAAGGCACACAGAGGCTGAGTAATTTGTTAAGGTCAGACAGCCAGCAAGTGGCAAAACTAGATTCAACCCCTTTCCCCACATTCCCCAGCACCACACAGTCCTGTGCTCAGCTCTGCCCTCAAAGAAAGCATCTGTGAGCCCCACCTGCACCTCTACCTTGCACTGCTGGGCATGAAGGATTCTGCAGCCACCACCCCCACGTCCTCCACACTGCCTTACTTCCCCTGCCCTGTGCCGGAAGGAAGGTCAGAGGCCACCAGCGTTCACCACAGACCTGCCAAGCAGGGCCCTGGACGCATTGGTCAGTCAGGCCCAAGAGAGCTGCAGGCGGGGTCAATAAAGCCTCCTGACGTGCATGTCAAAACTGGCTACCAGGGAAGTGGTAACAGAACTGGAAGATGGCTGAAATCCACATTACAGCTTCTATTTTACATTGATATTTGACCTTTTAGTCAAAGGTGAACCCCATTAGTAGAACCCCACTAATTCTTTACTTTTTAATGTATTTATTTATTTTGTGGTCTTGGAGATAAAACCCAGGGTCTTTGCACTCAACCTATTTTGCCTATTTTTATTTTTAAATGTTGAGATAGGGTCTTGCTAAGTCTATAAGTTGCCCTGGGTGGACTCAAACTTGTGATCTTCCTGCCTCAGCCTCCCACAGAGATTTATTTTTGATATTTTATTTTGTTCCCAAAAGAGTGAAAAGTAGGGTAACAAAAGTCACCCTAGCTGGACAGAATCCCAAGCTGCATTTCTTCTGCTGGTCTCACTCAGGACACAGGGTGCCCTCCGCCTCTTGCGACTCATCTTTTGGGAACAACCATGCCCCCTCCCCCCACCCCGGGGGGCTTCGTTTTCTCATCCTACTTCTTTTCCAAGCCACACTGAAGTGAAAGTCCCTCTAGAAGTTCAGTCTGATGGCCCTGTTGTTCCTAATCTTCAAAAGCAGAGGGATAGCTGGCAGTCACCCAGGACCCAGGGATGTAGCCAGGGCCAGGAGCGTCAGCTGCAGTTGGCGTGGCCAGGACAGAAGTGCATGCCCAGAGCTCCTCTCCTAGCAGGCTGCTTCCAGACTGAAAGGTCAAATATCAAGCTGCCCAGTTCCCAGCCAGTCTGGCAGTCGGGCTGACGGTAGGGTGGCCTTCGCTGAGGAAGGCATCTGGACATTCGCAGGAAGGGAGTCTACAGAGGCAGAGTGAATAAAGTATCCACTGCAAGGGGAGTGGGACCCTGTGGCACCCTGGAATTAGACTTGGGGTGTCAAATATACACTCCAGGACATAATCACAATCAACATTAAAATCCCATCAGTACACGCTCAGCTAGGAGAACTGAGGCCTGAAGAATAACGAAAATAAGGTGTACCATGCTCCGCTATTGCGTTCACACAAATCATTCCTTTTCTCCAGCTGCGCCGCTGGGTGTTACCAAACTTAGAGGCCTGGCCCGCGCTGCGTGAGGAAAAGGGATGTGATTGGCCAGCGCGCCGACCCCTGGCAGCCCCAGCCAATCAACGCACTTTGCTCGGGCCCGCCTTCCCTGCTGCGCCTCACCTGGTGAAGGCAGAGACCGTTCCAGGTACTGGGAATCGTAACTCTTCCAGGTGTACTGAGGGGCCGGGGAGCCCTCTGCAGACTGGCAGCTCAGCTTGATGTCGTTCCCGATCACAGTCTCTCCCTCGATTCGGCAGTCTGGTACAGAAGGTGGCACTGTGCAGGGAGAGGTCAAGGAGATGGACTGACTTAATGGTAACAGTCACCTGCACCCCACACACACACCTTCCAAGATGCCGCCCCAGGGGCCTGTCACTCCCAGCGTAGGGAGGGAGTCGCCAGGAGCTGACTGTGAGAATGTGGGCCACGTGTTCTCTAGCCTCATGGGACGTTAGAGACACTCTGTCATGGTTTCTATAAAGATGGGGATACCAAGGCCCACAGGGGACACTGGTTCATGGAACAAGAACCCACGTCTCTGGACTGCAGACCCCGCACTTGCTCCACCAGCTCACGGGTGCTCCGTCAGTCAGACTCTGTGTGGCATTTTAGGGAAACTCTGCCTCTCTGGGATCACAGGGTTGCCACCTGGACAAAGAACAACCTTTTCTGGAAAGAGCCGAGGAACTCTGCAAAGCACATGCCATTTCTATATTGCTGTTTTTCCTTTGCAATAATGCTTCAGAAATGCGAAGCCTGGCTTGGCTGACTGGACTTGCCTGTCCTTGGGCCCAGTCCTACATAAATGACCTCCAAATCCCTGCACCTGGAATTGTGCAGCCAGGTTCCCTGAGAGGAGGCACTGCCCTCTTCCCAAGTCCCAGAGAAAGTGCAGCCTCAGAGCCCTTGGAGGAGAGGAGGGACTCTGGGGTGCAGTGCGGTGGAGCACCAGGTGCAGAGTAGGGCCAGGGGAAGTGAGAAGTGGAGAGGGGAAAGAAAAGTCGTATGGGGGAGGCTGTAGAGCTCACAGCCCTCACCTTGCCATTTCCCAGAGCCGCCGGCCCGCACCTTTCCCTCAGCCTTGCCCACGTGCCACTGTGTGCAGCATGGTCTGCAAATTTAACAACACGGGGCACTGGGATGGTGCGGTGAGCGCCAAAAAATCCAGCAGGACCAAAACCTGGAAATCAGGTAATGCCAAGGCAAGAGTCAAGGGCCTGCTCCTGTCACTGCCTAGAACTCGAAGGATGACCCGTGAAGGCAAAGGAAGTGGAGGCAAAGGTGGAGGTGGAGGAGCAGAGAGGAGCTCCAGGCAGAGGGAGCGGCAAATGCTAAGGCTCAGAGAGGCCAGAGGTCTGTAGCATCCTCGAGGGTGAGGAGGGCTGTCACTAAAACTTGAGGTTGCAGGCCTGTCCCCTGAGAGGGTGTGCTTGCCCGATAAAGTTACCACCTCTGTCATGCAGGTGCATGGTCACTGAGCTGGAGAACAAGTTCCGGTCTCAATTCCACCGGAAGTTGTTGGGCAAGTGCTGCAGGACACACCTCTCCCCTCCAGCTCAGCAGCTGCAGCATTAGTTTTTGGAAGCAGAGCCAGGCGTGGTGGTGCATGCCAGCAATCCCAGCACTCCAGGAGACAGGCAGTGGAAAATTGTGCTGCTGGCAGGTATACTGGACATCCGTTACCATAGTAGCAGCCAGTCAGGTACTGGATAATCATGGCACAAATTAGACACACTCCCTTATTGCCTCTCCTATAAAAGTCTTTAAATCTAAAAGTGCCAGGGTTGTTTGGCACCTCCAACCAGCTACCTCCTGCTCACCTTGCTGGCCCAGGGGATAAGAGGTGGCAAGCACCCAGGAGACCTCCGGAGCAGGCCTGGTGCATGGTGCTTTGTCCCTTGAGTTCCTCCCTACCCTGATCTCACAGTCAGAGAAATGGTCCCACACATTCCCAAAGTCACACTCCTCAGGACTGGTAGGAGATCACTTCTAGGCCAGGTTTCTTTGGGATGTAATAAAGACAAATGCAATACAAAGAGGAAGGAAAATGACAGAAACCCATGGTGTCTACGGAAACACTAAGCAATCTGGTGGCACTTGAAGTCCGGCTCTGCGGGTCCTGCTGTTTACCCTGGAAAAGACAGAGCTGACATAGCCACAATCAAGGGACCAGGCCACCCCTCCGGAGATCAGCATTTGGAGGACATGTCCCGAAGTTCGAGCCACACAGTCCGCTCTCGCTCAATGACAGACTGGGATCTGGGGCCAGACCGATCCAGTTCACATAGCCACACACGCACGGCCCTGAGAGCCCCGCGTGGCCAACTTTAGCCTGAGAATTTAGTGTGGAGCCCGTGGGGCTTCGAGGCCACTGCGATGCCTGCGACTCCCGCAGAGGACGGCAGGGGGCGCCAGAGACCGGTGAGACCGCCATCCAGCCTGGCCATTGGAGCAGTAAGTCCCAGAACTGCTGGCAGCCTGGGGACAGGCGTGGCCTCTGGGGTTCAGGCTGAGGGCTTTCCTGCTCGCCTAGGCTACCCCAAGTAATTAAAACCCTCCGCCTAACAAACAGCGGGGCTGCAAAGCAGTTTGGGGGGGAAAATTCTTTTAAAAGAAGTTTACTGGATTGCTTAACCTGCAGGACAAACGGATCTTTTTTCTTTTTAAAAGCAAATCCTTGAGCTGGGTACGGGGGTGCACACCTGTGATCCCAACTCTCCCGGAAGCTGAGGCAGGAGGACCACAAATTCAAGTCTGGCTTGGGCAATTTGGGGGCTGGACAAGATTCTGTTTTAAAATTTAAAATAAAATGGAAAGTGGGAGGGAAGCTCGGTTAGAAACCCTGGATGCAATCCCTAGGACTAAAAGAAAGAAGAAAAACTGGTTTCACCCAAGTTCCACAATGTCAGATTACACTTGTGCCCTTCACGTTCAGGCTAACTTGTCCCCCCAAACTCCTGCGCGGCCGTGACGGGGTGGGGTCGGCCATGCGCGTTCCCGCGCTCCTCCCGAGGCCCCCAGCGCTTTTCCGCAGGAATTTGGGGGCTGCCGCTTCCCGCGAGGCCGCTGCTGCGGCTCACCCTGCCCGGCCCGAGGGCGACCCTCACCCAGCACCAGGAGGCGGATGCGCGACTTGGGGCTGCCCTGCAGGTCCGACTTTAGCAACACGGAGCACTCGTAGGTGCCATTGTCGTCCATGGTCAGCTGGTCGATGGTGATGGAGGCGTTTGACTGGTGGGTGTTCCCCACCAGCCGCGCGCGGTTGTTGTAGAGGTTGCCGTAGGTGTAGTCTAGGGTATCGAAACTCCAGATGAGCACACTTTCCTGGGAACGAGCAGAAACGCTGTTGGCTCAGCCTGAGGTCCTGGCACAGGCCTTGCCTGGCTGCCCCCTTCCACCAGAGCCCAGACCACGGACTCATTGGTGCCTGGAGCATACCCAAAGCCTTGGCCGGCCTCGGGCTCCTCTTGTCACCTCGCTAGGCCTCACTGTATTTGAAAACGTATTTGTAAGTGAATCTGTTGGAGCCCTGGGGCCCAGGCCAGGTGGGCACTTCATGCCACAGAAGCCCTTTGGATCCCAGTAACCTCAGCTTTGTACGCTTCACATCTCTCCTCCATCCCTTCTCAGCCTACTCTGCTCTCATTCAGTCAGTCAACCAGCACTTTCTGAGCACAGGCATCATGCTAGGTAGCCACGCTGGGCTCTTTATTACTGTGGCTCTTATGTTTAGAGTTTGTTTATTCATTGATCCGCTGGCTCAGCGTTGGTCCGACAGTGTAAACAGAGGCCACGGACCTTCAAGCCAGATAGCCTCAATTCAAATCCCAATTCTGTCACTTAGTTGAGAGGCCTTGAACAAAATCCTCGACATCTCTGGTGTCCATTTTCTCTTCTACAAAGTGGAGGTGATAGCAACACCTGTCTCCTAGGATTGTAAGTCGGTAATACAGCCAGAGCAGCTGGCTTAGGGCTTGGCTGCCGTGCTAGGTCCCTGGAAGTGCTAGTCTCAGTGTTACTGAGCATCTAGATGCCTCCCACCCAAGGGCAGCTAATTCGTGAGCTCGAAGAGTAACGGGAGCGATGGGCCGTCAGTCCTTACATGGAAGAGCTGATAGTTACCTTGAATCATGAAAAGCAACTATGAAATAAATAGCTTAGCTGTCAGGGGCTGATAGGGGCAGGTACGTGCCTGACTAGGCTAAATTTGGGTGTAAGGGGGACCTGCAGGTAGGACACAGACGTAGAAGCAGCACCTGAAACCAGGAGGCACAGTGGGAACGAGGCGAGTGAGATGGGGAGCTGTGCTGAGCAGCTGGTAAGTTTCACCTCCTCTAATCCGCTAAACACCCGGCAGACTCGGTCCTGTGATTATACGCACTTTATGAGTGGAGAAACCAAGGCACCGGGAGGCTGAGCATCTTTCTCAAGTCCACACTAAGGAAAGGCAGAGCAGAGATTTGAACGGGTCTTGCTGGCTCCAGAGCTTGCACCCTGGAGATTCTACAGTGCTGAATCTCAGGTGCTGTGCGCGTGTGGGACCAGACTGTTTGTGGTTTATCTTGAAGGCACTAAGGAGTCCTGTGTTTGAAGAAATTAGCTCTTAAGATGGTGCAAAATGAAGTGGAAGGAGAAAGGGGTCAGTTAAGAAGCCGGGTTAGCAATTCCAGTGAGAGAGCAGTACCAGTGCAGAGGGAGAGGAGGCTGGGGTGCCGAAGGGTGGACCAGGAGACTGGGGGTGGGCTTCATGTGCAGAGTTGGGGGCTTCAGGCCTCTTGGACACTTGCATGGATCTGAGAGGAAATGCCCAGGAAGGAGAGGTTCAGGAAGAAAGCTTTCCTGTGGGGGCCTGAAGAGGCTGTGTGAGGAGAGGCTCTGCAGCTGAGCGGCTGAGTGTAAGGGGGAAGGTTTGGGAGTCACCCACAGGGAGACGTCTGCAGAGACAGAGCTCCTCGACGCAGCGCAGGGGAGCTGGGGATGAGGAGGAAATGGTGTGTCCCGTGGAAACGGAGAGCTCAGAGATAAGAGGAAAACCCAAGGGTGACTTCAGCAGAGCCAAGCAGGGAGGCAGGAGATCGGAAGGTGGTTCTGGTGTGAAGCGCGGGCCACAGGAGAGAAGGTGGAGACGGGTGGGTCAGTTCTGATGCCCCTGCAGGCAACACCTTTGTACGAAGTGGTGAGCGCCCTGGTTTGCAGCCTGGCGCGCCAGGCACAGGCAGCGGGATTGGTGGTGAGCGCAGCCCGGTGCCGGACACCACTGTGCAGACCGCGCGGCTGCTCCGGCTGTCCCGGCCAGGCTCTGGGAAGGGTGGTTGTGGTCGGGAGGAGACAGTGAAAGGAGGTGAGGAAAGTCTCTGGGGTCCCTGCTTCTCTGCTCAGCTCTTTCAGACCCCAGATTGCTCTGTTATAGGCGTCTCCACCCCTGGGGCTCCGGGGTGACAATGCTTGCTAGGATCTCAGGGATCTCGGGGATTGCGAAGGCAAAGCAGGAACAGATTTAACCCTTTGCTCCTCACCCTTACTTGGTCTCCACGGAGTTGCCTCAAATCCTTTTGGAAATCATCAGGCAGTAAACAGCCTTAGCGTCTGGCTCAGCGCTCAGGAAGTGTCAGCTGGACCTCAAGTCTGGTTTGGTAGGGGCTCCTGATGATGGGGAGGGGCTGGCCCCTCAGTTTCTTCCAGCCAAAGGCCAAAGCTTGGGTTTTGCCCTTGGGCTTTGGGAGGGACAGGACCGGCAGCTGTGGTTCCTCAGGGTCCCTCCTTGTTTCATGCCAAGACCACGTCCACTTCCCCTGTGTGTCCTGGGCCTCTCCTTCTTTCTTGTCAAGGAAAAAGCCAGATCCTTTCAGTCTGAGCTGGTGGGGGCCCAAGGCTTACTGCTGCCGGCACCTCAGCGTGTTAAAAGGAGAGCTTGCCTTTACACTCAGGACCACGTGCCCCACTTCTCACCGTCAATATGGATTTGATCACCACTGAGACCCCTTTTTCACTTATAAAACTGGCAACTATGAGAATACTTTCCACTGGGGAAATGGATGCCCTTACTGTTGTTGATGAAAATGAAAATTAGTAAGACATCTGATGAGACCAATTTGATTTTATCAAAAACTTAAATTCACATGCCCTTTGACCCAGAAGTTCACTTTTTTTTTTTTTTTTTTGTCTTTTTGAGACAGGGTTTCTCTATGCAGTTCAGGCTGGCCTTGAGCTCACTGTGTAGCCCAGGCTGATCTTGAACTCACAACCATCCTTCTGCCTCAGCCTCCCAAGTGCTGGGATTACAGGCATGAGCTACCATGCCTGGCTCAGAAGTTCACTTTTTAATAATTTATCATATGTATAGTGTGTATGTATATTCAGATATATATGCCTATTCATTGTAGCATTATTTGTAGCAGCAAAATATAGGAAATAAAAAAATATAGGAAACAAAGCAAAATGTTCATCAGTAGTATATGTTGATATGTTCTGTTTGTATGCTTCATGAAACTGGAAGGCTTCATGCAAATATTTTAAAAATGAGATATGATCTGGATATGTAGCTCAGGAACTACCCAAAGGAGCAGGGCGTGGTGGCACAAACCTCCAATCCCAGCACTCTGGAGGCTGAGGCAGGAAGATCACACATTTGAGCCTAGCCTGGGCTAAGTTTCTTAGTAATTTAGTGAGAACCTTCCTAATGCCCAAGTAACAAAGTTTGGGGATGTAGCTCAGTATGCAGGTCCTGGCTTTAGCCCCTAGTACTAAGGAGGAAGAGAAAGAGGGACAGATATGAATAACTGTATATGTGTATATACATGCCTGTTCTTGTGTGGTGTGCCTTCTCTGAGGGCTGGGATAGAGCGCAAGACAGGAGGGTAAAGGGGTGGGAATAAGACGGACAGCACAGAGAGAGCAAGGAAGAAATGAGACTTCTCCAAGGACACTTTTTATGATGTTCTGACTTTGAAATCGTGGAATGCTGTGATCTGTTTAAAAATACAAATAGAACATAGAATAAAGCTTTTCCAAATGCTCCAAAAGAAACCAAACAGGTAAAGAAATCCATAAGATAAATTTTAGCCTCAGAATGGGGAATATGCTAGGTCAGAATGAGTGACTGAGTTGCACGGTACAATGTAGGTCATTTTGAAATGGACCGACAGGGAGGTATTTTAGGGCAGGTGACTTTGTCCAAATGAAGATGCTGTAATGAGCTCCCCCTGGGCCCCGCATGCCCCACTCCTGATCATTCCAGCTAACTTTTCTTGAAAGGCTTGATAGTGCTTGCCTTCCAGGACATCCTGGGCAGGTGAAACTCATTCCCATGGTGTCCCCGGTTTTTTTTTTTTTTTTTTTTTTTTTAGATGAACTAATTTTTTCATTTTTATCAGCACACATTTGCTGTATCTAATGATCACGTTCATCATAGGGGACTGGGTGTGTAACACAGCCCATTTCTCTCTACATCCCTTTCCTCCCCCCTCCCTTCACCCTCCATCTGCAAAACTCCAGGTTTTTAGGGAGCCTTACCGTGTGACTCAGAAGAAGCTTATCCCACTGAATAAATCCATTTCGTTCATTGGAAGAAGTTCGGTATATACACGGAAGAGTGGCACTTGTTCCTCGGGCCGCCCGAATACCATCCTGTGAGGTTTCCACAGTGATAGCATCGACTGTCACCCACACTGGAAGGAAAGCAGGAGGTGTGAGATAGAAGTACACACTCAGTCATGGTCAGGGGGACCTCTGTGAGAATGCCCGGAGCTGCCCTGGCTCCCACAGCACCAGCCATGTCTGCCACGATGGTGATTGTGACCATGGCTGCCAGCTGTTCTCCTCCAAGACTGGAGGACCACACCTGTGCCCAGGCTCCCCCATCTGCCCTGACAGCATCATGAAGCAGTGACATGCATTCGGCGGTTAAAAGCCTGGCTTTGGATCTCAGTCCCGTGGCTCACCGGCTGTGCAAATTTTCTAAGTCTCAGTTTTGTCATCGGTAAAATAGGAGTCCTCATTCCCCTATTTTGAGGGAAGTGTTGGGGCGATGGAAAACAATATCATATGTCAATATTTTTCTCAGTGCCTGACACATAGAAAACTCTCAATAAGTGAGATCTGCCATCTTTTTTGTAGGGATGATGATATATTCATTGACTTAAATATGCATGGAACCCTTCTACATTGGTGGGGTGAATCAAATGCAAACAAGTACAACCACTATGGAAATCAGTATGGGAACTCCTCAAAGAACTGAAACTAGAAATTCCATTTGACTCAGCTATTCCTCACCTAGGTATCTTCCTAAGAGTTAAAGACATTATATTACAGTGATACATACATACTCATGCTTAGAGCGGCACAACTCATAGTAGCTAAATTATGGAAGTGGTATACACACCCACCAACAGATAAATGGGTAAAGAAAGTATGGTGTTATGGCTTGTGTCTAAATGTTCCCCCCAAGCCTCATACATTCATAGGTGGAGCTTTTTCAGAAGTGGCTGGATCTGGAATGTATAATTCTGGAATTAAAGATGTGTGGTTACTAAATTAGTCCATTGATTGATTTGGCACCTGCCCCAAGCCGAATCTAGATAGAATATAAAAAGGACAGAAAGAAGCTGCTAAGGGGCTTGGACTTGCTTCTTTGCTACTATATTTCTTTGCCACCTTCTGTCTGCCATGCTCTGTTCTCCTCTAAATGCCTGTCTGCCATGCCACCCTGCCTTGGAGCCAACCAGTTATGGACAGAAACCTCCACACACTGTGAGCCAAAAATAAACCTTTCTTCCTTTAACTTTGGGTGTTAGATATTTTGTCTCAGTGAAAAAAAGTAACTGAGACATGATATTTATACATAATGGTATAAATATTTTTTGTAGCTACTCTGCTACAAAGGAGGATACATTTGAGTCATTTGTAAGAAAATGGATGTACCTCAAGACCATAGATAAATCAGAAGTTATAAAGAGATAAATTTGAAATAAATTGAAGACACAAGCTTAAATACTGCATGATTTATATGGGCAGCCCAAAGTATAAATAAATTAAAGAGCAAAACAAAATATAGGTAACAAGAAAGAAGAACTTTTCCAAATGAGAAGAGGACTGAGAGATGGAGGGAGGGGAAGAGAAGGGGGAGTAAACAGAATTAAGGTGTGTTATGCACATGTACCATGTACATGCATGATGAATGCAATCATTATATCTACACACACAGAGTTACAAAATAAAAATAAATATTCATGGAACACTTACATGTGGTAGTGATTTAGAAATGAGGTGAAATAGAAGTAAGAGAATACAGTTGCTGGGACCCCCCCACCCCACCTTGGCCTTAGCTGTATTTGCTCTTGTGATCTGTGGTCACTGGGAACATCCCCAGATGACCAAGCAAAGCCTCCAGAGAAGGGAGCCAGCATCCCAGCCACCCAGCTGCCCGGTGGACACAAGGGAGGCAGAGCTCAGCTCCCCGCACAGCTCCACCCAGCCGGGGATTTATGAGTAAAACAAAGGCACAGTGAAGCCGCTGAGTTTTGGGTGGTTTGCTACACTGCAGTCGATGGTCAGTGGCTCAGAGTCCTATGGACGGGCTCTGGCGAAAAGAATCTCCTCCGGGGACACAGCTTTCTGCAGGGGCCAGGCAGCAGGCAGTGGGTTTGTGATGCGATTGAAACACATAGTGAACATTTAAGTTTTTAAAATGTATTATAGAAAAAAATCACCAAGTATCCACTCACTCTGAACACACTCACCCCATGGTTCTTGTCCCTTTGCAAAGCAGTTCAGGAACTCATCTTTCCTGAGTGTCTGAGGTTGCCTCAATGTCCTGAATCGATTTGAAATGCTTGACTTCCATGATATCTTAACTTCGGAGAAGAGTCAGAAGTGGCACGTGGCCAGACCTGGCGACTAAGGTGAGTGAGGGCACCCCATAATGTCTTAGGAGCCCACCTCTCTGCAGCGGCATCCATCCTATTTTTGATAGCATCTTATAGAGACACTCAGGAAAGAGAAACTGCCACTGCTCTAGAAACCGGCAAGAATCATGGGAAAATTGTGTTCAAAGCGAGCAGAGTATTCCGAAGGGGATCTGCGGCAATGTGTCTTTTACTGTAGAATTTTTAAAAATTTGAATATTCATCATATATTGTGATCCTCCATTATAACGTTGGTTCATGTTCAGGGAAGAGCACAGAAGCTGATATGCAGGAAGGAGAGGCGGTGGAGAAGTAGGGGCCCCTCAGACAGCATCAAGAGCCACAGCTCTGGCTGAAAGCTTTGTTACTTCACTCTGAAGGCAGCTGGATGCCCTTGGGAAGACTTGTGCAGAGCTAATAATTTAACACGCAATTCTGAAGGTTCATTCTGACTGATGTGACAAGAGGGGGTGGGGAAGAGAGCAGAGGCAAGAAAGCCTGCAAGAGACCATTTCAGCAATGCAGGTGGTGCTACTGGTGGCTTGGATATAGGTGAGAATGGCAGCAGTAGTGAGAAATGATTTAAAAATGAGAAGTATTTAGAAAGTAGAGCCAATGGGGCTTGACCACAGAGGGAACTAGGCATGATAGAGGAAAAGAGACATCAAGGATAAATACAAGGATTTGTCCTGAACACTTAGGAAGAGTGGGATTGAAATAACTAAAGCCGAGGGAGGAGCAGGTTTCAGTGGAAAACTAGTTTGCAGAGTTGTGTGAAGTTTGAGGTGTTTATTGGAATCTAAGTTGAGAACCTGCAGAAGCAACTGTGTAGGTCTGGAGTCTTGTGGGGAAGGGTGAAGAGGAGACACACCTTGGGGAGTCATCAATTTTCCATCATTTAGGACCAGCGGACATTGAGATCACAATAGAGACATCTGGGGCAGAAACCTGGGGATGCCAGTGCTTGCTGGTAGAAAAAATGAGGACTTCAGCAAGGCAGAAGAAGAACTGGTCTGAGAGACAGGAAGAGAACCAGAAGAAAGTGTTTTGCAGAGCCCAAGCAAGAAACATGTCTCCTGAAAGGGAAGAGGGTCAGCTACCCCACTGCTTCGGATCCACTGAACCAAGGAGCTGAGGACAATGACCACTGCATGTGGCCACACGGAGCTGCCCAGGCCTTAAGCAAATTCAGTAGAGCAGTGAGGATGAAGCCTGACTGGAGAGGGCTTAAGAACGAATGGGAGACACAGAGAAGTTTCTCTGGAATGGGAGAGAAGACAGAGCTGTGACAGCTACAGGAAACTGTGGGGTCAAGACAGTTTGGGCCTTTCAGAAATACTTTTGACACTGTGTTTGTTGATGAGAATGAACCCAAAGAGAAAAGAGAGAGAAATGATGTCCTTATAGGATATAAAATGAGAATGTAAGGTGATGGGAGGGGGCAGGATTTAGAAAGGACCCCAGACTATTTATCCCCAGATGGGACTAAAGATATAATTGATTAGCAGATTTGGCAGAGGGCAAGAGTGAGCATTTTCCTGAGCATCCCCATCACGAAGTTGTATTGTAAGGGAGGAAAATGTCCCTGCTGAAGATCCCTCTTCCTTGCCCAGCTTTGGAGATGACACTGTTCAATCAAGGTCTCAGCTGGATTAACACACTTCCTTTTAAAAATGCAAATACATTCTGGAAATGGGATTGTTCACACTTAGTGTACAGTGCTTCACTCAGAAAATGTCCTTCTTAGCATGGCAACCAGCTGCCTTTCCAGAGTGGACTCTGTGTGGTCAAAGCAGTGAGAATCCATGAGCCAGGGTGTAAAGTCAGAGAACTGGATATGGGGCAAGAGCACCAGGAGGCTGTCAAAAGCCAGCCTTTCTCTTCTTGCCGTTTGATATTTTCTCACTGTGGCAACCAGGTGCCAGGAGCCACGAAGAATCAACTTATGTGCTGGCGTGTTGAGTGGCTGATACCTGGGCCACCCGGGTGGCTGAGTTTATCAAATAGCCCTTGACGTGACCCTGCCACTGGTCCTTCCACTACCGTCATCTATCAGAAAATTCTTTCATGATCATGGTCATTGCTAGCAAGTTGCTCTTGGTCAGGAGGTTGGTTGCTGGAAGGAGCCAAGACCCATCTGCCCAGCTCTTATCCTGTTCAGAGAGCGGGTCTGGAGGTCGTTCTCTGTATCCGTGACAACTACCACTATGTTGATCCATGGCTCTGCCCATGCCTCGACCCATTTCATTGGAGTCTTGTCCTTGGGGTCACCACTCCCAGGCTTCCCCCTGACCTGCACAATGATTCTCCATGTCCCATTCTTTATGCAAGAGCTACATAGTAAGGGACTGCTGTCACTGACAGCACCCAGGTGGCCTGTGCACGTTGACCCACATAGTAGCACACTCGGTCTAATGGTGCTGACTCTCACTGGTAAATCACAGAGAACCAACCCACTGTGGTTCCTTTAGACAAGGAAGTGTCTAATTCTCAGCTCACTCAATAGTGAAGTATTGGCTGGGCATGGTAGTGGATGCCTGCAATCTCAGCACTCCGGGAGACTGAGGCAGAAGGACGGAAAATTCCAACCCAGTCTGGGCAGCTTAGCAATTTAGTAAAATTCTGTGTCAAAAAAAAAAAAAAATTAAAGGCTGCAGATCTGGCTCAGAGTGAAGGCCTGAATTCAACTCCCTGTACCACAAGAATTAAAAAGAAAGAAGAAATCAAAGCAATATTAAGCTAATTATGAAAAGAATGCAAAAGAG